CTGTCCCACTCCTGGTAACATGACTCCCACTCCTGTCCTGCTCCTGTTCAGAATCACTCCCACTGCTGTCCTGCTCCTGTTTTTCATTTAATTTTTAGGAAATACATTGAATTTGATTTAATCTTCTACCCATTCCTGTTTAAATTACTTTGTGTTGTGCAGTTTTATTTCAAAATATATGGCAACAGGAACAGTTCATCTGTGGTGAAATAGAGACATTTATTTCCTTATTCCAAACAAAAACCTTCACTAAATATCATAAAAGAAATAATCCATGGCCTGTAGTCCATATAATTTTTCTACGGAGGATCAGCTGCTTAGTCTCTGTTTCCAGATCTTTTGAAGGTCAGTTACAGTAAAAACAAAAAATCTAAACCAGTCCATGGGTCACACCATGTCTACCTTAGATGAAAGAACCCAAACATAACAAGTTGCATTTTACTAATTTATTGAGCAATTGTTTCTGTTAAACTGTGACATCACTGTCATGTTTTAAATTGTTTAAACAAACAAACAAAAACAAAAAAAATAATGTACCAAGCAGAGAACTCAACAAATAAAAATGTTTAAAGGCATTATTATACATTGGACGACGTCCTCAAGAAGTTCAGTCTATGTGGTCGAGGTAACGAGCTCGTTTGGGTGAAGCATGATGTCGTGCATCGTACCAGACTTCAGAGCATCATTTACAGACTGGACCATTGCAGGTCTGGTGTTCCACCTCATCTCTCCACAGCTGGACCAGTCCAGAGCCTTGTGCAACCTAAAAGTGAAAGAAGACAGTGCACGGGTCAAAACAGGGTTACAGTGACTACAAATTACAATTTGTTGGCCTTTCTTTTGGAAAAAATATTTTATCAAAAACAAGAGATTTACAATTGAAACTATGTAAAAACAAAAAAGAAATATGACCTTTGCAATTATAAATTACAGAAGCTCAATTTTTCTTTATTTCACTTATTATATTTTATAATTATTTAAGCAGCGTCACCAGGCAGAGTAAGTATCTTACCTGCTCTTTTGACGTGTGTGACAAGGGTCTTTGTGTCCAAAGCTGTTTAACAGTTTGTTTCCAGAGCTAACAGCTTCCTGTTTTACATAGAAAAAATAAATTAAAGACAAACAAAAAGCTTAGTGCTACTTCTTGTGCCATGCTTTATAAAACAGTTATTGAATAAAGGATTTACTTATGTAGGTAAACATAGATGTTTTAAAACATGTTAAAATACGCCAGAATGCAGGAAATAGCAGCTGCTTTATTAAAAAAGTTATGGGTGAGGACCCACAGACCTCACACCAATATGTCCCCCCTACAATAATTCTAATGATAATACCCACTGTGTTGTTCAAGCCAAGAGCCATTGTCAACATTGGGGGGGCTAAGGCCCCTAAAAAGGGCTTCTAGAATCGCCCCTGGTGTGAAGAAATGAACTGAGAAAAATCAACTCGACTTAAAATTTAACACAACAACATAATTGTACACATCATATCTTAAATCTAAAACTAAAACAGTTATTATAATGTATATGCAACCAGCCTTTCATATAAAAACTGGGATATTTTTACCGGAGAATGCTTTCACTAACGAGTTTGTTGTTGTACTGGCATGGTTACAGCCGACAGTAACTATTTACACAATAAAGTGATGGTTATTCACATTTTTCCTTGATTTCAGAATCCAGCAGGACGTCACAATATAAAAATAGGAATATTTTTACCGGAGAATGCGTGCACTTTAACCAGGAAGAGTTTGTGGGGGTTTTTTTTACATTACAAACAACGACAGATAATGAAAATTTTAACCTAAAAACCCACATAACAAAGCAGAGCATAATTTTTAAATTAAAAGGGACAAGATGGAGAAAAATGCACTGAGTCTGTTCATTTACTGACGGTTACAGGGTTATTTGACACTTTCCTGCCTGTTCTGTGAGTTTAATAGACAGAGAGTTACTTCTTACCTTGCGTTGCAAACTATTTTCAGTTACTCAGTACTTCTTCGCTACTCCTCCCACCCTCTCGGTGAAATGCTACGGCTCGAACAGATGACTTCTGGGCAATGTAGTTCTTTTGACTTGTGTTAAAGTGAAGGCTTACTGAAAGAAAACTACAAAATAGCTGCGCTCGTGTTTTTTTTTTTTTTTTTTTTTCCATTTTCATTTTAGGTTACTGGTCGGTTCCCGCTCCTGTCTGCTCCCGTTAGATTTCAGTCCGGTCACGTCCCGGTCACGTGAGTTATAATGAGGTTGACTCCGGTCCCGCCAGAATCTGTCCGGAATCACGTGACCCGCGGTACTCCAAAAAAAATGTCATCCTCTAGTGTGAATGCGCATTTGAACTCTGATGCAGACCAAAAAAGCGAACTCTGGTCCGCCTAAATACCTAGGTCTCGGTTCAATTGAAGTGAACTCTGGTGTGGTTCCAATTAGGGGTGCACCGATTGCAGTTTTCTGGCCGATCACGATCACCGATTTCTAAAAAGTCTGACCTGCCAATTCTGATTTTGGCCAATACCAATTTTGTTTTATAAGCGACACTGTCAGGTGTTATAAGGTCACAATGCACCTTCAATTTTCCAATATTATTTTATTGAAAAACATACCCTTGAACAATATCCTAGAAACAATACAAACTTTTTTAACTGGCCATGAGGTAGTGCTCTGAAATATAAAGGAAGTTCAGACAATTGTTGTTAAAACAAACCAAAAAAAGGTAAAATCAGTTTCTCATGCAAGTATCAGCTGATTTCCCAAAATTAAGGAAATCGGGGCTGATAAATTGGTGCACCCCTCGTTCGAATGCATTGTGAATGCAAGCGGACCAAAGAGCGCTTTAAAAGCTGTAAGTGGACTACAGGCAAGGCATTCTGTGTAAATACAACCAAAACAAACACGCATTTCTCTTACTTCATATGGAGCCGTTTCAGCCTCCTTGTGTGAAAAACAACATTCTCCATGGTCTTCTGCCTCATCTTCCGCTCATGATGAGTCCATTGTTGAAAAATGTTTGTTTGGCACTTTAGCTACAGACAAGACAGAAATCTTAAAACTGCTAAAATTTCACTCCACTCCATTTTTGTTTTTATTTCCAGAAGAAGAAGAAAAGGTGTCTTCTTCATAAGTTTTCATGTCGTTTCCTTCAGTAGTTCTTGGTGCAGCGCCACCACAGGCGAGGGGGGGAACAGGTTGGCTCGATTGACTCAGCGCATTGTGAATGTGAACTGAACCATCTGAAAATGTCAACAACGCTTTCAAATTTTGGTCTCCAATCGAACCGAGTCCACCGGACTATCAGGTGTGAAAACAACCTTAGAGTGGGACTCTATCAGTTCCACTTTGTGCTTTGTATTATAAAGAACCTCTGAATGGGACATTCTGCAGTCATCAAAAGTTGATAACAAGAAGGCCAAAGCCACGAGACCTCCGTGGAGCTTCAAGCACTCCTGGTGGAGAAGTTTTCAGGGACAGTCAAAACAGTTAGCATCTGTACACGAAGCACAGGAACTGGCTGAGACTAGAACCCTATCTATAAATTAAAACATTACCTCTTCAAAAGTCATTGCTAATAAATGGTTATCCTTACTTATTTAACAAAATAACTGCGCCTGGTTTTTGCCAAACACGGCGCCGTGCATGATGGGTAAACATCTTTAACTTTGGTCTCATCTGTCCGAAGAACATTGTTCCAGAAGTCTTTTAAACAATGCTGCCATGTTCTTTTTAGATTGGACTGTTTCTTTTGGCACCTCTTTTCCCACAGCTTTCAGATTTGGCTTCATTTTTGTTTATTAGATAAGGTCATATTGTTTTTTTTTTTATTTATGATTTCAAACCTGCTTTAAAAACCAGATGATTTTCATCATCCTGATAACCCTAGAGTTGAAAGAGGGTGAACTTGCTTCTTCCATTCACTGTGTTGCTCAACAAACCCCACAAAATACATGTACAAAGTGTTTCTGCAGCTTGGATACATGTCCGTGTTCCAACATGTCACTCTTTACGCACATCTGTCCTCAACGTGCCTGCGTGGCTTGAGTGAGTGTTAAATGCATTGACGAGGGTTGTGTGTGAGTGTGTGAATGGACCAGTGGCAGGCGGTAGGGGGTTGTCATGAGAAATTACCCCCGTGGACTGCAGCGTAGAGGCTGTAATTCTCTGAGGTAATCACAGGGAATAATGGCAACAGTGGGACACCCGAGATTCTAATCACTATAATCAGAAGCATTGGCTTATGGGCTCAAATGCCTGCCTCGCGATCTGCTGCGTGATGAGGCCGGCTCGGCTCGTTGGGCTGCTGCAGCATGATCAAATGATTGACCAGTTTTCTCTTTCTCTCCTTTTCCTCCGTCTCCTTCCCTTTCTAGTCCTCCATTGTGGTCGGGGAGTCCCCTCTTCAGAAAGAACGGAGGAGTTGTCCTACAAGGTACCATTTTACTTCTGCAAGTCTTGTTAATCTTTTGCCTTTTTCTTTTCTTTCTTTCTTCCAGTCTGTTCTTTCAGTCTGCTTTTTCAGTCTGTTATTTCAGTCTGTTCTTTCTTCTTTGTCTCACCCTCTTCCTCCCTCCTTCCCCTCTTCAACCCTCTACGGATGTGCCACCTCCAATCATCTCAATTCTAAATCCCTCCTTTCACAAGCGCACCTTGAGAATACCGAATCCTGAGTTCTGACACTCGTCTCGTAGCCGAGGGAGAAATGCTTTTGGCGGATTTGAAAGATTTTTCTTTTTTTTAAAACAAAAAGAAGAAATAATTGCGAGACAACAAGAGAGAAAGAAAAGCTGAACATCGAACCACGGACTGGTTATCCCACCGTCTTCTTCCTTCATTCAGCTCAACATATGTACACTCTTACTTGCTTCTCCACGTATTTTCCACTATTCCCATCTCCTCCTTCCTTTCACCTCCTCCCTGGTGGGTGGACGGCAGTTTAAATGGACATTCAATCCCAATCAGGGAGCACTCTGGGAGCTCGCCGGGCCGCCAGGCCCTAAATAGAGGGGGAAATGGATACATTAGGCGTCTGCGGCTAGAGCCTCCATCGCTGCTAATAATGGCGTAGTAATGGTCAAGGAGCTGAGGTTGCAGAGAGAACGCCTGGAAGCCTGGACTCTCCCTGCAGACATGCATGTCTGGACAGATGGACAGATGGACAGATGAGTTGGGGGTGGAGGGAACGCAAGAGTATTTTTCTTTAATGTGTTTTTGGAAGTATGGTCAGGTGTGACGTTCAGAGGCAGCAGGGGTACGAGAAGTTGTGACAGACAGCCAAAGGCAAAGACAAGGAAAGGGTCGGGGTGATGATTGTGTGTGTGTGTGTGTGTGTGTGTGTGTGTGTGTGTGTGTGTGTG